CGGGGGAGTGCCCGGAATAAAAAAGCGCTCATAAGCGCTTTTTAAATGCTGCCCCTAACCTGGTCGGAACTGGAAATCAGAGTGCCCGCTTATAAGTGCTTTTCTGAGCAACCTGGGGTGCACCGGCAGAGTCAGGATTAAAAAGCGCTTATGATCGCTTTTCTACCGCTTTTCCTATCACCCATGGCCTGGTTGGCAAGAATTATAAAGCGCTTATAAGCGTTTTTTCAATGCTGCCCCTAACCTGTTCGGAACGGGGGTGTGCCCGGAATTAAAAAGCGCTTATAAACGATTTCTCAATTCTCTTCAATCTGGTCGGAACTGGAGAGTGCCCACTTGCATGTGCTTTTCTGAGCAACCTGGGGTGCACCGGCAGAGTCAGGATTTAAAAGCGCTTATAGGCGCTTATGATTGCTTTTCTACCGCTTTTCCCATCACCCATGGCCTGGTTGGCAAGAATTATAAAGCGCTTATAAGCGTTTTTTCAATGCTGCCCCTAACCTGGTCGGAACGGGGGAGTGCCTGGAATTAATAAGCGCTTATAAGCGATTTCTCAATTCCCCTCAACCTGGTCGGAACTAGAAATCAGAGTGCCCGCTTATAAGTGCTTTTCTGTGCAACCTGGGGTGCACCGGCAGAGTCAGGATTTAAAAGCGCTTATAGGCGCTTATGATCGCTTTTCTACCGCTTTTCCCATTACCTAACCATGTGCTTTCGGGCCACTTCGGGCGCGCTTGTTTCACAAGTACGTCAAGAAGTGAGTGGGCGCGCGCTACTGCAAGCGCAAGGGCTCTGGATAGAGCAAATGGCACCCAGCTAGTGAGGCGAAACTCACTGATCTTTCCAAAAAGGTATGACAAATTTGGTATTGTGAAAATTCTCACAGTCTCTAGAAAACAGTGTTACAAAAAAATTTTAAAATCTGAGCAAGTTTATTTTATCGTCCTTTGTTGAGCTTTGATATAGCCGCCAACCCTCCATCGATTTTGGCAACCATATATTGGTTCCCAAAATTTCCCGCACTTTGCAGTTTCTGCAGTAGGGGTAATTAGGTATAAACTACAGTACAGCTGTACTTACAATCACATTCACAATTGACCATTGTTAATGGTCTGGCCCGGCGCGCGCTACTTCGTAGCACTTGCCGTCGAGAAGAAAGCGGCACGCGCTACTTCGAAGAAATTTAGACGAGTAACATCCGTCAAATTCACAAGCATGCAAGCTCACCTGGTCCAATGAGCCTAGCGGGAAACAGAAAACGTTTTAATTAGTTTGTTAAACGAAGTGTCGTACGTCACCTTAAGATCGGGTGACAGGTTGACGGATGTTACTCGTCTAAATTTCTTCGAAGTAGCGCGCGCCGCTTTCTTCTCGAAATGTTGCCCGATGGCAAGAGCTACGAAGTAGCGCGCGCCGGGTCAGATCATTAACAATGGTCAAGTGACAGGGTGCTTACAATTCGCGTTACTGGGCGGCGCTCAGCCTGTCATTCTGCATTCCGCCAAATCTTTATTCGGGCTGAGTGAATTACGACTTTCATCGCCCTAAAAAAGTGCGAATGCTCATTGGACTAGCATTCACGTGATCGTTCAGAACCAATTACAGCCGCGCAAAAGATCACGTGCACGCCAACTACCAATAAAAAAGAAGTGACGTATGCACTACAAGAGCCGCGCGCTGAGTTAGATTGTAAAATCTGATTATTTGATTGTAAAATCGCATAAACACGCCTATTTGCGCGTTTTAGAGGGTTTAATTACGCCAGGCTATGCTTATGAACATACTAGCTTGGGGTCACCTGGTAAAATTCGCGCCACTTGTTTCACAAGTAAAGAAAAGCATCAACTCGCCTTCGTGCGCGCTCCCGCAGTGTTCATGTTGCCACGCGCGACGTCAGATTGCAGATATGAGGACAAAATTTTGACACCCAATATAAAACCATAAGTTTGTGTGTTTATAACCATACAAGACGTATTTATACCATGCAAAACGTATTTATAAGCATGCAAGACAAAAAAGTCAGGTAAAAAAAGTCATTCTCTCGTCTCAGGGTAAAGGTGACAAGAATACCTGGGCCCCTTTGGCAAACTTTCTGAACTCAGGCAGCTTGAACGACTAAATTTGAAAAAATAAAACTTCTTGTCTGAATGAACTATTAGAACCTCAAGAAGCTGATCCGCATGTCTCCGCTACTAAAATGTTTAATGAGCCCAATCACTCATCACTTAACAGTTTAATCTTCAAAGTGAGTTGTACAATCTAGGTTGTTTTAAGTAGCTGTTGATAGTGTAAAACAGGAGTGACTTGATCGTTTTCATAACTTCGATTTACAATTTGTACCATAATAAAACTAGCACTGCCATGGGGTTCAAAAAGGGTCATTGTAAGCCTCCAGCGTAATGGTCCTAAGTCTCTGCCCCATGCAGTGCCTGTCAGCATCAGCTAACAGAATAGCCCTAAAATAACGATCAAGCCACAAATTAGGTTCTATAATGATTTAATATTGTTGAATAAAGAGATTTGAATATAATATTTGTTTTATTCTGAATATTTGTTTTATTCTGAATTGTCGCCGGCCTAATTGCTTATATTTGTGATAAATATTTTAAGAGTATCACTTGACCATTGCATGTTACATGTTACTGGTCTGGCCCGACATAGCACGTGCCATCGTGGCATTTCGAGAAGAAAGCGGCGCGCGCTACTTTAGACGAGTAACATCCGTCAATTAAGAGTATCACCTGTTAACCATGGGTATTGGGTCTATTTGTATCATTCAGGTCGCGTCGTGACATAGTCATAAGTAATTAAACAATTGCGCGGTAATCGTGAATCGGTAAACAAGCTGATATGCCCATTTTACAGCATGAACTAACATGAGACAAAATAAAATATTGACTCACAATGCGATGTCAATCTTTCAATTCACAGCTTGGCGAGGCCCAGTCTAGTGGTGAATTTTTACCAAACTAGCGAAGCGCAATGTTGAATGTGATTGCGAGAATTGACGGGTGACACTCGTAAAATATTTGTTCCATATATTGGAGTCCAACTCGGCTTTTACTAATTCGCTCGCCCAAAAATTTCACGTGACTTTGGTTTTTATGGTTTTGCAGCCGTACAAAACGGTTTTACATAAATCCTAATCCCAACCCTAACCCTAACCATAACCCCGAAGTTAACCATAACCCTTTCCACAAGCCTAACCCTAACCCGGGCCCTAAACAATCGAATTCGTATTTTACTAGCCTGTCACGTGACCAAAACGGTTTTTTGCCCATAACTCTCCAGGGAAGCATTTTAACCCTACGTCATGGGGGGTGATTCGGAATCAGCGTCCAAAAATACACCGATATAGATCACTTTCATGCCCCAAAGGGCCTTTTCACAAGAATTTCCTTAAAATTTGGGCGAGCGATTTAGTAGAAGCGGTAGAAAAGCGATCATAAGCGCCTATAAGCGCTTTTAAATCCTGATTCTGCCGGTGACCCCAGGTTGCACAGAAAAGCACTTATAACTATAAGCGGGCACACTGATTTCCAGTTCTGACCAGGTTAAGGGGAATTGAGAAATCGCTTATAAGCGCAGCATTAAAAAAGCGCTAATGAGCGCTTTTTAATTCCGGGCACTCCCCCGTTCCGACCAGGTTAGTGGCAGCATTGAAAAAGCGCTTATAAGCGCTTTCTAATTCTTGCCAACCAGGCCATGGGTGATAGGAAAAGCGGTAGAAAAGCGATCATAAGCGCTTTTAAATCCTGACTCTGCCGTGTACCCCAGGTTGCTCAGAAAAGCACTTATAAGCGGGCACTCTGATTTCCAGTTCCGACCAGGTTAGGGGCAGCATTTAAAAAGCGCCTCTGAGCGCTTTTTAATTCCGGGCACTCCCCCGTTCCGACTAAGTTAGTGGCAGCATTGAAAAAGCGCTTATAAGCGCTTTCTAATTCTTGCCAACCAGGCCATGGGTGATAGAAAAAGCGGTAGAAAAGCGATCATAAGCGCCTATAAGCGCTTTTAAATCCTGATTCTGCCGGTGACCCCAGGTTGCTCAGAAAAGCACATGAAAGTTCCAACCAGGTTAAGGGGAATTGAGAAATCGCTTATAAGCGCTTTTAAATCCCGGGCACTACCCCGTTCCGACCAGGCTAGGGGCAGCATCGAAAAAGCGCTTATAAGCGCTTTTTAATTCCTGCTCACCTGGCCATGGATGATAGGAAAAGCGGTAAAAGCGGTGAAATAGCGATGAATTAGCCGTTATAAGCGATTTCTAAAAAAACGCTTATAATCGATTATAAGCGGTTATAAGATGTAATATAGCGTTTTCCTGACTCAATTTTAAAAGCGCTTATAAGCGCTTTATTTGCGCTTTACAAACAGCTAAATTGCACCCCAATTATAAGCGCTTATAATCGCTTATAAATGGTTCAAAAAAGCGCCTACGAATCGCTTATCCGGCCAACCGCTTATCCACCCGTTTTTGGCGCCAATCCTACTGGAAAACCGCTTTCAAATCGCTCAGCGACGCTAGTAAGCGCTTAAAAGCGCTTATAAGCGCTTTTAAATTCAAAAAAGCGCTTTTTTGAATTATGACACCAATTATAGTCGATTATAAGCGATTTTTTTTGAACCGTTTATAATCGTAAAAAAAGCGATTGTAAACGGTTTTTTTTTAAAAAAGCGCCGAAAAAGCGCTCAATAAGCGATTATCGGCGACGATCATAAAATATCGTTTATGGAAACTTGCCTAAACTACCTATTTATATTGAGCCTATCAAGACGTTAATAAGTAGAAATTTGCACCATCATCACGCAATCCGGCAATCTGCAGACCACTTATTGTCAGTTATAAATCTAGAGTTTCCTGCACTGTATTCAGAAGTGAGGGCTTGTCTCGGTATTTTCTGAGTAATGTTCTGCCAAAGTTCTGAGTATTTACTCTGGAATTCTCTCTAAATGTATTTTCACAGAGTTCAACTTGTTTTAACAATTTCCCTATCCTCCAGGTATAGGACAGCGAATCATAGGTTTCTGTCATGATGACATGTTGTTGAACGATAACATGCAGCATAAAGTGGTGCTCAAAAGAAACCCAGACTCTCTCTCCATGACCATCGATAATCGCTCCATTCAATGTGAGTACATCTACTTTTTGGAATTTTAAAAATTGAGCGAAAATTGGTTGCGTTAGTTTTAGGTTTTCCGGGCGAGATAAAAATGTGATTTGTGCTAAGTAAATTTGAGTTAATTAGAAGTTTCATGCCAAATGCCATTCGACTGTTGGTATGTTAGGAATTGCATCATTACAGTCTCTAATTGACCAAAGCTGCGGATATAGCAAGTTTTATTTATAACTCAGTTTTGTAAACAATTGTCCTGGAAATGTTACATTATAAAATGCAGCAGAGAAATCGGCTATTTTTGTCATAACACTTAGCTGTGTAAAACAATTTCTCTCTCATGATGGCATGAAGGACTATTTATCGAGCAACCTTTTTGACAGATACATCAAACCTAGCAACGAAAAATGGCACCTTTCAATTTTCACCTGACGTAAGACGCGACGATCTTTTGATTGATACCAAGAGCGCGCATTAAGCCGCGCGCTTTTAATTTTTAAAATTTATATTGTATTTCGACCAAATCTCAAAATCTGTCCAAACAAATCTGTCTAAATTTAACTAAAATCTTATATTACTTTTGACGAAACACATTTTTTGTTCTATCAGTCGATTGTTGAAGTTTGAACGAACACTATTTATATCAACTCAGCATTATACTGATCGATGTATCTGCAAGTAGTATCTTAAATCTTTGTTCTTACCGCATTCTGAGAAAGAAATATGAACTTCGAGGCTCGACATGGGTTTACAATTTATAATTATTCTATCAAGCGATGGGTATTATTAAAAGGCACGGTTTATATCTCCACAGAAAGTACACTATCCAAAGATTCTGCGGCTTTTCAATAGTCAGGACTTCTGTTAAAGGTGTAGAGTAATTATATTAATATGTTGTGAAATGGTGTTCGGAAATAAGCTCAAAAGATATCTCTCTAGTCCGGATACAATTCAATAAGCTCAGTGATGTGCACTACTTGCCACTGCATCGACCATTACTATACGCGCATGGGTTGTGTCCAGTTTGGGTTGTACCTAGGATTATATCCTATCGTGCTTTTATAAAATGTTTTAACACTTGAATAAGCTTCTTGAATTATCTTGAATTATCTTGCTTTAAAACTTGGAGACAGCAAAATCAGCTGAAATCAGGCACTATTTATATAGATTCTCGGGGATCGCGCAAACCAAGGTAGCGTAGACGTTACTCTATACAGCTGAAGTGGATCTGATGTAAAATAAGCAATTTCCATTTCAACAGAATGAAGGGAGTTTGGGTTGTTACCCTTTAATTCCTGTTTTGACGTCAGTAACGCCTTAAGTCTTAATCTCCCACCCTCGACCATCACCAACGATCAGAAATGCTAAACCGCGCGTACGTTACTGACGTCAATGTGAGCGATGCAATATTCGAGATAGAACTGAGTAGTATGACTATACGACTGAACTGTATAACTAGCCAATGCAATTAAATTATCCACGAATTTACTAAAGTTCTCCTCTCAGGTTCGTATCCCTCCGGAAGCAAGTTAGAGTTCACCTTCACAGCTCTAAGATCTATACAAATTGGACACCTCCAGCCTACCTGGGGAGAGGCGTACGGTTTTACTGGGTGTATGACTGACTTGTTCGTGGACGGTCTCTCACCTCTTATCCTTGCTGATCTCGCGGAAAATACAAGTAAGGGACGCAGGGACGTTTTTGAGAATCAAGATTTAATTTAATTATTGTATAGACGATGGAGAATTTATTATGGAGGTGTTGGGTGACCATTTTAAAAGTGACTTGGAACTCTATCTCAGAAATTGAAGACCAAGTATCAGTGCAAGACGTTGATTTTGTGGAGACTTGTGGTGAGAAATATAATGTTCCTACTACACAGCCACCTCAACAACCGTAAGTAAATTAATATCTCCACACCAATTAATTAGTTAGTAACGTTAGGCTCAATTAGTCCAATTAGTCTACTAATTAGTCCAATTAGTCTACTAATTAGTTTCTTCTTTCACTGATTTAATCCCACATAGTGGCACTATCATGATGGAATGAAAATGCTTTGTCGGTCTCAACTTTATCAGCTCTAATCCCCGTCGAAATTCCGTTCCGTTTTCATCCGAATAAGAATTTAGGAATCAAACAAGGTTAGGGCGTACAAAACTAAAAATATGAAGCAGTTAATATATTAACTTGACTTTTCTCTCCAGGACAAACTCTCCACCTTTCGACACAAATCCTATCACTGGAGCAGTCGAGGATAAAGAAAAAGATGACGATTCCGGAAAAGATAAGATGACCCTAATCGTCATATTAGTGACTATCGTTATCCTTATTTTATTAGTTCTCTTAATTGGGATTGTTTGTAAAAAATATTATAATAACAAAGGGACTTACAAAGTGGACGAGAGCCGGCTAAGGGCGGATCAGGAGAACCCTGAGCAAGAGTATTTTATTTAGTTCTAGACGGCCGATCCTTCGTTCACCCTAAAAGTATATGGACGTATAATTCATCATTGTTTGTTTTATGCTGTATCTGTTTTGCAATGTTTTAACAGAATTTGTAAGTCATGGATATCGTGATGTTACCGTCGCCTTCAAAAGAAAATCAGATCAAATTCTGAAATTCTGTCAGGGTAAATGTTTCGCTTGTCTTGCTGTAACTGTCATATTATGCTGAAAGAAAAGAACTAAAGATTTTTCAATTACCAATTTTTGGAGGACTCTTTTAAGAGTCCTCCTAAAATCTGTAATTAAAAATTATTTTAAAAACTAATTGATTATTGAGAACAGAAGAATGTGATCGAACTTCCCTTGATTATGCCGTGCATTTTGTATGACAATTTTTAGGGGGTTTTCTGTTTAGCAAGCAAGGATATGGTTAGTGGACATTGGATACTTAATGCACGGTCATTCAAGGGACTGGGTTTGCCACTGTTGTACGGGATGGCATCTGCCAGCGATTGTAGAGAATTTATTCTTTAAAATTTATTTCTAGAAACTTCTATAAAGGTTAGGTTTAGCAAATATCATCATATCTGTTTATAAAATTTTTGAAATGCACGATTGTTATTTGATGTGTTATCGATATCCCTCAAACCAAATTCAGTTTTTGTAATGTTATATTATTTAATTTTAAGTTTTTCATTCAATGTAAATAATATTATATGAGTTGAAATTTTATCGTAAATTCAATTTTCTATAATCATGATTTTGACTTCTATTCTGATCTCCTCGATGCAAATGCAATCTCTTTTCACCTTCAATTATACTATTATTTAAAACAAATTCATTTGAATTGATCAGCAACCTGTTGGAAAATAACGTTACATATTGAAACGATGTGGGACTGAACATGTCCGTGCACAACATTTCTCCAAACACTTCGTAATTGCAGCTCCCAATGAATATGGTGAAAGCTTGTAATCACGTCGTGACCTCCATTGTCATTTCACTTAGTATCGGGGCAAAAGCCACGATACACTGATACAGCCACGGCGCGGCGGGCCATCAACGTGAGGCAAGGAAAATCGAGCGACCTATTTAGTGCTCGGTATCACTAATTTGCATTTAACGGTAATTTAGATTGATATCATTTCTTTTTTTTTTGGAAAAAGGAAACACTCAGACACCGGCGACGGTCCATTCCAAATGTTGGGTTTTTTAGGTTTTGAAATAATAATAAAAGGATTTGCATAACTGCACGATCGGTGATCCTGGATCCAATGCAATTGCGAAATCTAAAAGTAAATATAATGCTGTTTTAGTGTTTTAAGTAAATAACTAAAGCGTCAAAAACTTATCGGTCTCATTATAAATCACTCACCAATGACCAAGGATTTTTAATTTTTTTTTCACAAAGTGGGTCTTATTGAAAGTAGCATCATTTAATTAAATGTATTTTTCCGAAACACCCCCATGACATATGACATAGGGTCAAACCGCTTACTTAGTGAGGAGTTATGAGCAAAAAAACTGTATATTGGTCACGTAACAGGCTGGTAAAACACGGATTCGATTGTTCAGGGCTCAGGTTTGGGTTAGGGTTGTGCTTGTGGTTATCGTTATAGTTAGCTCAGGGCTTATATGGTTAGGGTTGTAGGTTCGCAGGGTTTCACCGACACCGTTTCTTTCGGTAAACAGTAATTGTAAATACCCAAGTCTCGTGGCGGTGCGCTGGCGAGTGAATTAGTGAAAGCCTAAACTTATATAGTAACTAATGATTTGTTCGGTCAGTTTGTGTTGTGCATCTTCGACACTAACTATCTGAGACTTAATAAATCGAGAATCAGGCATCACCTGACTCTTATCCTTCAGTGACATGTGTTCATTACTCGAGCCTCATCAGAAAACATTGGAAATTTTAACAAAGAAAACAATTCACAATATTATATTCAATTTACTACCAGCAACCTGGGTAAATAGTTAATGCGAATGTTTGAGATGACATCTCGAGAATGAAATTTATTTATTGATAATTAAATACACATACTAATAGTTCTTTCAGATGGCCCACTAATCAAAAACATTATTAACGCTTCAAAAATCGTTCTTTCGTTACACTTATATTATTATTGAAACTATATCCATCTATTCCCACTGAAATTTCTTCAATTTTTTAAATTCGCCATCTTATTTGCTAGCAAAGATCTTAATCACGAGTATGTCATGGTCTGGAATAACAACTCAAGAAAACAACAATTTCAAGAAAACAACAATTTTATTTAGTATCAATTAAAGCACACAAAAATATATTTCATATATATATAACTAGCACGAACTTTAGATCAGATATCTTAGGGGACTTGGAGTAGCAAGAGATTGACTAGAAGGTATATAACTTTTACAAAGATACGTCGAGAAGAATCCAGGGTGATACAGGATCGGAGAGTGCAGACCAAAAGTTTACGCACCCACCTTTGCCTCCTGAGTTCTTGGTTGGATAGAAATTTATGCAAACTTGGTCGTTTATACTCCAAGTCCCTTTCTTAAAAGAAGTAGTATTAACTATGTCTAGAGTTAGCTTCGTTCAATAATAACAATATCAATATAATCAATATCAATATCAGATAAACCTACCGAATAAATTATTAAATATCAATTAATTCATTCCGATAAAAATTTTTATAAATTTAGATGTTTAACTTATCTAAAAACATTACAACAAATGGTTAAAAAGCGCCCAAAATCGATTTGAAAGATTTTCTGTCTATAGTACAATCATGATAGTAATAGTAAGTGTGTGCCGCTGGCTGCAATTAGATTTGATTACTGCAATTTGAAATTGTTTGGAGTCCAAGTATCTTTTAAGTCAGCTGCCTGTGCTTGTATTAATAGTGCTTTGGTTCTCAGTTTTATCAAGCTAATGGACGTTTCTAAGCAATTGCTTGAAGTTAAAATTTTTCTATGAACAGCGTTCCAAAGCTTGGCTGCATTAAACAAAAAGGTGTTTGATTTATTTAGGAGAATAACCATTAGACTCGTTGCACGGTTTGAAATGTTGATAGCCTCATAAAGGGAGTATGGGCAGTGGTACTTGATAATCTTAGAGAATTCTAAAATACAGTGATATTTGTACAAGTTTTGAGCCGTAAGAATTTTTAATCTATTAAAAATGGGTTTTGTATGCTCCTTTTCAAAGTGTTTATGGTCTAGTTTTTGCATACCGTATGGTCTAGTACGTGCACATGTTGATTGTTTATCTAAATATGAGTCAAGGTCGCCAAAAAGGATCCTTATACAGTGCTTCTGTGTGATGAAAAGACTATCATTGGACCGTTCTTTGAGGACAACACCCCAAACACTTATACCATAACTGAGATGTGATTCAAAAAGAGTATTATATATTTTCAAATATAGTTCAGAAGGTATCGAGTGCCGAATTCTGCAGATTGCACCAGTCATAGATCTCAGTTTTTTACGGATGTAGTGCATGTGGGCAATCCAGTTTAGCTTACTATCTATAACAACACCTAAGAATTTGGTATCCTTGACTTTAGTAATAACCTTACCATTGATGAATATTGATCTAGATTCATCTAGCAGGATAGCAAATGGTCTGGTCCGTGCACAGGTGTCATCATATTCAGAGGCAGGTTTAAAATGTATGTAGCAGCATTTGGACATGTTGATATGAAGTAGATTACATTTCATGTAAATCGAGACATGTTGGCTTTTTTGTATGTTGCTTCTCTAGATGGTCCTGATATGAAGATATTAGTGTCATCAGCATAAAGTACAAATTTCACCTCACTGTCTGAAAAGCAGTTTACTATATCGTTCATATACAATAGGAAGAGTAACGGCCCTAGAATTGACCCTTGCGGTACTCCAAATTTCACGTCCATTGTTTCTGATGGTACATCGTTATACATAACATACTGCTTTCTGTTAGTCAAATAGCTTTTTAGTAAGGTAAGTGCTGTGCCCCTAATACCGTAGGAATTTAATTTGCATAAAAGAATATCGTGATCAAGGGTGTCGAAGGCTTTGCTCAAGTCAATGAATATCCCTAGGACATGTTTATTGCTTGCCAGAGACTTAGTAACGGAGTCTATAGATTTGTGTAGAGCATGGGTGGTAGAATGGCCTTTTCTAAATCCAAACTGTGAGTCTGTTAGTACACCTTTAGATGTGAAGAAATTATAGAGGCGTTTATAAATGACCTTCTCGAAGATCTTTCCAAATAAAGGTAATATTGATACAGGCCGATAATTTTCAATGCATTCTTTATTGTCTTTCTTGTAAATAGGAATAACTTTACCAGTTTTAAAAATACTTGGGAATGTACCACTTTGTATACATGTGTTGTAAAGCCTAGCCAAGGTACCAGCAATGAGCTTGGCCGGTTTTTTTACAACAACTATAGGTATGTCACTCGCCTTACCATTTTGAAAGTCTCGGATCACCTCTATAATTTCTTCTTCATTAGTTTCTTCCAGGTATATGGAGTCAGATACCGAATTAGACATAAACTGAGCAAATGATTCTACTGGTTCCAGAGAAATACTATTGTTTGACAGTACATTTTTATTGAGATTACTTGCAAGAGATGTAAAATATTCACAGAATTTGTTAGCAATTATTCGTCTGCAAGTAACTCTCTGGCCATCTATGACAAAATCGTCCTTACATCTAGACAAATTTTTGCCACGGAGTTCATTTATAATTTCCCAAGTCTTTTTTGAGTTCATGCTGTACTTCTCGAATTTTTGAGTATAGCACATGGCCTTTGCCATCTTTATTGAGCTCTTGAGAAACTTGTCGAATTCCTTGTAGTAGATGTGCTTGTTTGGATCCCCATCAGGTAGTTTTAATGTACAAGTCTTCTTCCATTCGAAATACAACCTAGCTAGGCCCTGGGTGATCCAAGGGTTGCATTACTATAGTCGTAGTGTATAGTAATTTTGTCTGATGAATCAGGTGTTGGCACAGAGTCAGGGGAAAGTTCAATAAGAGTGAATATAGGGTGATGGTGGGAGATCTTGTCAGATATCACACCAGAAATAAGGGATTGATCTACGACATTGGTATGGATATTGTCAATACAGGTCCTGGAACAGCCAGGCATTTGGTGAGTTGGTACTGATATGGTTGGTATGAAGCCGTTGTTGAATATTATTTCTTGGAATTTGTCCTCTGATGGAGATGGGTCGTTCAAAATGTTAACATTGAAATCACCAAGAATATATACTTTTTTGCCA